ACATTTGGTCGTCCTGTGTTCTATTTCAGCAATCTGTCGTGAGTCGTGATCCAATTATTGTATGTGTCTCATGCTGAGTCACTCATTATAATCTTTTTGGTTCTATTTTAGCATGGCCGATTCAGCACCATTAATTAGTGTAAAGTCGGATTTTATTAAAATCCTTATCGATTAAACTCTAAGAACACCTTTACATCCATTTAACCAGTTAAAATGGTGGTACGCTTAAGCTAGGTCCATTAAAAAAACTGGTAAATGGACTACTCGACGACTATACTAATTATGAGAAATTAGTCGGGTGGTATAAACTCGGATTATTCTATGGTTATCAAAAACAAAAAAAATAAGCTAAAACATTAGATTTTGTTTTAATTAGTATATTGATTCTGTCAAGTTCTAATTAAGTTCTTTGTCATTACTGCTTTGCAGGTAAAACAGAGTTATGTGGTTAGAACAACTTTGAGAGATTTGCTTTAACAGTTTGTTTCTTCTGCAAGGAAGTTTGTTTTTTCTGCTAGGTCGAATCAGCACCATTAATTGGTGTAAAGTCGGAATTTTTATAAATCCTTATCAACTAAACCATTAGAATTTGTCTTTTTGGCAAGTTCTAATTAAGTAGAAGGTTAGTAAAAAAAAGTTATAATTAAGTAGTTGACTGCGCCATGTCACTGATAACCTAAGTTAAAAAGCCAAGTCACGCGATCTACTCAACAAAGCGTGTGGGACAATCAATTTTCTCCTTCTAAAATCTAATTAACGTTACGTACGCAAAATCCCGAGTGTATGAAGAAAAATTAAATATCAATCCAAATTATTCAATGATTTTGACTTTTTGTTTTGTTTTGTTTTAGGCTTTAAAACCATTTTTTCCAATACCCACTATAAACATGGAGAAATTGGTTGTATAACCATAGAAAAAAATTGTATCTAATAATCTAATCAAAAACCACCTATGTGGCAACATCCTAACCATTTGATCTATGTTTTTTGGTTAGATTATTAGATATGATTTTTGTTTGGTTATTCAAAAAATTAACCCTATAACATATGATAGCAAACGTAAAAACAAATAAACAACCATAACTTTTTTTTACGATTGTTTATAATTTTTAGCGGCGCTCTGATTTTATGGTTTTGAATATGATTTTTAGCCATAATACGATTCAAACGGACAAAAACAGGTAATCAAATGTGACTAATTTGTTATTTGTCTATATAATATGTACATATATCAACTACGAAATCCAAGATAAGATGTAATATGCAAGTGTTGATATATAGAAATCAATAGAATAATAGATCATTACGTAAACATCGACAAAGTTTTACTTGATTGGTTAATAAACGTATACGTGCAAATACTTTCTCGCTCGCAATTTCTTTCAATGTATCGCTATCAAGGAAAAAAACACATGTTATATACAAGTGGACGATAATGGATAAGTAAAAGTTGTGAAAATGAACAAGCCAACTCCATCGATAATGGCCATCAGCTATAAATGGGTCAACAACTTATTTCATTACCGTAAAAAGAAGAAATAATATTTTTTTAATTTTTGCTTGCCATTTGTCAGGAAAAAAGTATCTTAGCTAGAAAGAAGGAAAATGTTG